GAGCGAACCCAATGTCCAAAAAATTCCCCTCAGCTCCAGAGTCCAATAAAGCCTCACAGTCATGGTTAACGGACCGAATTACCAGCCTGACAGAAAGAGGAGTGCTTGAACCAGCGGATTTGTGTCCCTTAGTGGCGCCCGTCAGTAACCTCCTACCTACTGACGGGCGTTGTCTTTTACTGGACACCGTGCTGCGATGTGTCCGGGGCCGCCACAGTACATACACACTCCCTCTCTCCTACGTCTCTGCCTCTCCTGTTGGGAGAGTCGGAACCTTCCCACCTGCATGGGCTCGGACTCCGGAAGAGAGGAAACAGTCTTATTAGTGAGTGAAGGTAATTGAGTCTGTGAAGCGAACGGCGGTTCTCGGAGTTGTCGTTGATCCCGCCTCCGCAACCGGGTGTCCACCCGAATGGCTAGGGCTATGAGTTCATCCACCCCGGACGGTAATTCTGATGAATCTATCTCATCCTTAATTCTCTCAGAAAGTCCAAACCGAAACATGTCCCACTGTGCCTCTGCATTCCACCCACATTCTGCCGCCAATGTGCGGAACTCGATAGAATAGTCAGTGACCGTGTTCTGTCCTTGACGTAACTCGGCAAGAAATTTTCCTTTTGACAAAATTTCACACTGTATTCCCCTGGTCTCAGACTTCCTCACTCTTATCTATCTGTCTACCCAAATCTTTCCTGGTATATAAGAATATAATTCCCACTGTCAGGGTTCATTTAGCTTTAAAGTTGCTCTAAATAATGCTCTAAATTTATCAAAAATTAACATACTAAAATAACAAAGCATTGTTTTGGCCAACAGATATTATAATGAATAAAAGTATCAAACTGTTTGAAATCAACCAAAGTCAGAAAATTTAATTAGTATTTATGGTAGTCACAAGTTCAAAGGTGGAATCATAGCTCCAGAGAAATATTCCGATTGCACTTTTTTTAAAAGAATGTCTGTACTTATATGTCTGTCTACCTAAGTAACACCCAAGTGTTTCCTGCACGAGTTTAATTCTTGATTCTTCTACCATAGATAGTATTCAAATACTTCATTTACTCGTCTTTATTAAGTTACTCAAAATAATGTTCAGAGGCAATTACTCCATCTTTATTCATGTTTGCTCTCATAAACGTGTGAAAGTAAATTTAGTTACGACTAAAAACAGATTTACACACGCACACATAAAGAAGAAAGTATGGTTAAAATATTTAGTGTATATTGATGGCAATACTTTGAACTTGTACATCAAGAAATAAATGATCTTTTGTTACAATGAATGCTATCAATTCTTGTGTCATTCAAGACCAAAAATCCCTACAGAATTAAGTGTTATGTATAATTTATCAGAAATCCCACTTATATTTGTGTTTTGTTACAAAAATCGACTTCATTCATCTACCATGTTTATCGTGTTTGTTATTTTCATATCACGTGAGTGAAATGTACACTGTAAAAAAAATTCCGTAAAATTTACGGTAAAAAAACGGCAGCTGTGGTTGCCGGAATTTTACCGTAAAAAATATGGTAGCAACGTTTTAGGATTTATGGTTTTAACTTAAATTTACAGTTAAATACCGTAATTTCATAAACTGATATGATGTTAATATAACAACCTATTGAAGTACTGAAATCTGTTTTGTACATTAGGTGTAACACACAACCCTAATATACAAAACTAATTAGAAAAAACTAAGAAGAAACAGTTATTTCAACCAAAAAACCATCAATTCCTTTTTTCACTTCCAAAAACGGTATACTATCGTAAAATTAATGTCCAATACATGTAATGTCCAATACAGTTTTTCACCGTATATAGTAGGGGAATTTACGGTTAACCATTTAACAGGTTTTTACTGTAGCATTTTTACAGTCTTTTACAGTTAAATTCATGGTAATTTTTTTACAGTGTATGCAAAATAATCTGGCAAAACACTCAAAGCAAAGCCTCAAGGATCATTAAGGACCATTATCAATGAATTTGTGATAGCCTATATTTGAATGTGTAGTCAAGTGTGCACATAACAGTAACTTCCCTTTCGAAAATAACAATGGCTTTATTATAATAAAAGTGAAGTAACCATTATTATTTTAAAAATTTTTTGCATATTGATTACAATTTGTATAACAACAGTTTAACTAAAATACCATGGTTATGGTTAGTGTAGCAAAACTATAGTTAATTTGTTACCATCAGTGTTGGGCTGTAACTAGTTACTGTAATAATATTACTTTTTGCAGTAACTAGTAG